GACAGCCGTCACGGCCCTGGTCGATTCTGCCAAGAAGCCAGAGGTGGGGCTGCAAATGCCAAAAAGCCTGTGCCTCTCGCATGAGCTCGCGTTCGTTTCCTGCCGAAGCAGGTAGATGGCTACGAGTTCCAGTCTAAAGGCGAGCCTTTCCACAAGCTTCACGACAAACTTGACCATGAGTCGCGGCAGGCATCGTGGAGCTGCTGAAAGAGCTGGAGGACAAGTTTATCCAAGAGAAGGAGCCATGATGCAATATGTATATACAGATACACACACACACATATATATATATATACACATACATATACATACATATACACATACACACACGACAATGCAATGTACTATAATGCGATATGCTATACTGTGGTTCGGCTTCTGCTGGGCCCAAGCTGGGAGACGCAAGCCTGACGCAGGCAGATTTGGAGAAGGCCGAGTTCGAAAAGAAAGCCGCCTACGAGACCACCTTGGCCGGCAGGGATGCCAAGACCTGGGTGTTTAGGGACTCCTCTGGGGTTTTGCGTTAGTGGTTCGGGTTTAGGGCTTTTTGGGGTCGCTGATCAACTGTTTTAGGTCTCTGTCTGGAAAAGTCACCGAATCTGGCGGACGTGGGCTGTAGGTCTCAAAAACGAGCAGGCAGCTGAGCAGAAGGCGCGGTGAACGCCAAGTGAAGAGTCCCTTTGCTTCCTCCGACTGTCTTGCTTAATTGCCTTGGTGGTAGAAATCTGGGTCACTGCTTGCCGTGTATCGCAGGACATTGGTAAGAAGAGTGCCCTCAAGAGCAAGAAGCTGCAGCAGAAGGCGATGTTTACTTACTTTTGAGCTGCTCAGCCAACAGCAGGTTTCAAGGCGTCCGTCGGCCTTTTGCCAAATCGTTCATCTTGCAGAAAGATCAGTAGTAATAGTAACGAGCCCACCTGGGATTGCTTTTGCTTGTGCAGTGCCTGTGCAGTGCCGGATCGAAGAAACACTATCTCAATGAGTAACTAACGAATTCGACCAGATCTCAAGCCTTACGTGGACACTCCACGAGAAGAGAGTCCGCCTTGACGGGCATCAGAGCTGGTCAAACATCACGAACAAGAAGCTTGTAGTTGCATGGCTGCCGTGGTTTGAGCTAGCTTCCTTACTTGAGCACGATGCTCAAATTGGTGACTTGCTGCTTGTTTGCAAACGCAACTATGCCACATCATGTCCGGCAGAGGAGGCGTCGACAGTCGTTGTCTAGAGTCCTGGTGAGTGCTTCCGCTAGCCTTGTCAGTAAGGAACAGGCACCCATGAGCGGTCGCATAGCCAGCGATGACAGCGATGACATGCCGGTTGCAAGACAAACGAAGGCCGAGCTCGGCAACAACCTGGATACCAGCGAGTCCACCAAGGCAGCAGATGAGCCTGGAGCCCTGCTGGGGATGAAAAGCCGGGGGTTGCGACTTTCTCTGGTGCCCCTGATGTTAGTCAGAACCGAGGAAGTATCTCCAGGACATCACAAGCACTTGCAGCCAGAAGGCCGTCATGGGTGCTCTCCCTTCGGTGAAGAAGCGAAGTCTGCTGGTTCTCAGGCTACGGACTATGCTTCTCGACAGAAGCTCCGAGCGGAGGCAACGGGGCTGGCCTGGTGGAGGGCTCTGTGCCTTTGCAACTCTGACAGGAGCTGGAAGCCGTAGACAAGGCCCGGGCTCCTTTGCGCCAGCGGTCTCCAGAGCTTGGAACAGGGTCCTTTGCTGGCTTCTGTTGCCTTGCATGTTGGGGATCTTCGGAGAGGGGCATCTGACACGCCTGCTTGAGGCCATCGAGATCATTGGCGGGGAAACTGTGGCGGGGCTCACCTGGCTAGTTTCATGCTCGCATGGCATGCCAGGCGAATTGGTTTGGAGACTCTGGTATTCAGCTGTGCTTTGACCCTTCAGCCATTGCGGCTTTCTCGTTTGTTCAGTTCGACTGCAGTCTGCTCGGCAGGAGCGAGCAGAAGCATCTGGCCAAGAGCTTCCTCCAGGTCGGATGAGTCGAGATGCAAGGGCCAATGTCGAGCATGGCCCTGCGTGAGGGTCAAAGCATCTAGGGCGCCGATGCAATGCCACTATGCAAGACTGCTCCAGTTGCAGAGCCTGTCGTCATGACGTCTCCGCGCCTCGTGCTTCCAGTGGGGTAAGTTCTGCAGGCTTTTCGCAGATCTGTCGGCTTTCTCTGGCTGTACTCCTGAGTGCAGGTCTCCGGCACATCTCTGGCCGCCCTCCGAGCGAACGATGCACGCCGCACCCAGGCAGTGATCAAGGCGACAGGGCTTGGGCTCTGCTGCTCTGCCCGTGAACCTGAAGACCACACATCCCGTTCCGGCTGAGGACTAGGGTTTTCAGGAGACTGAAGTCATCGAGCACCATGTTGCAATGGGGCAATATCAGAAGATCTCTCACTGTTTTGCCATGTTCTTTGGTGGGACCAGGATTTGGTTCGCTGTCCGTGTCGCCTCATTCCATGCTGTTCAGGGCTGTTGTTGAACTTTTATCCCCGCGGGCCAGACCCGAACTCGGAAGAACCCACCCGACGGGTGGTCCGTGTGCCTGCCATGGTCTCCCCTTGCAGTCGAAGCTGCTAAGATGCTCGTGGGCAGGAGAAGGTCGCGGCCTTTCTCCAGAAGGAGGTTGGGGAGTAGATCGCTAGAGATGTGCTTGGCTCTATCGCCGCAAGCACGCCATGGGGCCGACCTGGCTTTTCAGGCCGACCGCCTCCACAGCGCGACTCTGGCCAACCTGGCCCGGGGCCCCCGAAATCGGAGACACCCCGGTGCTTGCAGAGTTCTCGAGCTCTTCTCGCAGTGTTGGTTGTAAGATTAAGACCTCCCCGACCGTCGCTTCACAGCATGGGATAGACTTTTGTGTCTATGCTTGATGCAAAGGTGGCGCCGACCGAAGAGTCCCAGTCTCTGGGAGGCGTGGAAGACATGGTGCAGGACCAGCTTGGCATCGTAGTGTTCGACTTGAGTGAGCAGTTTAATTTAAGGTGCAAGCGGAATCTTCAGTTTCCAGATCCCAGATCTTGCGATCTCCCCTGGGCCGTCTGCGCCTTTGCACCAATGTCCCGGACGTAGGCGTAAGAATCAGGCTGACAACCTCTATGACAGCACAGGAGTTGATCGCAAAGCTTGAGAAGCAGGCGGCCGAGGCCAAGACCAAGCAAGGCCCGGCTTAGTGGACGAGTCAGAGAGTGAATCTTGAGTAATCGCCCCACCAGAAAGAATGACAACGGCGATTCCAACCTGCGCCATGCGAGATTGCAGCTTGCAAGAATCGGCAGAGTGGAAGTGGTTTGCACTTCTCGCGGTGCTTGCCAGAACTGTGCGACAGCGAGCTCAAGAAGAACGAGCGCAAGCGTGGGGTCGGGTGCTTAGCCCCCGCGGCAAAGGCAGCCGGAGAAAAATTATCGTGCGCAAGAGATCTTGGCAGCTCTGTCCCTTGACTGTTTCGTTTGAGATTCAGTATGTTCAATACCTTCGTAACGTTTCGCTGCAGGAAAAGTCTGCTGATGCCGACCAGCTCGAAGCAGATATCGAGAAGCTGCAGGCAGATTGCAGTTAAGTTCGTCTATTTAAGTGCTTTTGAAAGCGGGCCGATGTCCTGCTGGTATCTCCTCTCATCTGGTTGGCCTGGGCTCGTAAATCTTGGTTTGTGGAGTAGTAACCCGAGAAGTGCCAGCATGCAAGTTTCCAACATGAGGTGTCCGCGAAGAAACTGAAGGAGGCTGGCCTTGGGTGAATTGGCCACGTGCGACCTGACAAAGCACAAGTAAGCCTTGCAGAATCTTGCAGAGCACTCCTCGCAAGTTCCTGTTTCGCAGTCTTCAAGTCACAGTGCTGCACAGTCCTGGCTGCGTCGTAAGTAGGCACAATCAATCTCTCATGAGCCTGCTTAGACAGTTTGGGCGGTGTTTAAGCATGTAAGCGCGCAGGAGGCTGTGGTGCTGGAGGGTGATGTGGCAGAGCTGGCCGCTGCCTGTGAACACGAGCAGTCGCAGCTTTGAAGTTTGATTGCCTTCTGTAGCATGGCCTGGCTGGTTTGGGTCTAGAAGGTTCTATTCTTGAGGTACAGCATGCACTCATCTCGAAGCTTTGGTTTAAGCTGTGTCTTTTGGACCAGCTGTCAGCTTCTTGTACGCCCCGCCTGTGTCTCTCTGTGAGGACCAGGCGGCGGGCTTGCTGCTCGATTTCAGGGTTCATGGCAGCTCAATGGTCGCGACTTATTTCTGATGACTTGTGGCAGGTTTTATCAGATGCTGGTGTAGAGGACGCTGCTGATCTGGCCTTTTTCTTTGTTTCCGAGGATGAGGCTAGGGAGTGGGCTGTCCTTCAGCAGTGCTCTGCGGGAGCAGACAACTTTGTGGCGGCTTGAAGTATAGTTCGCCGACTGGTCTCTGAAGATCGTTCGGTTGTGGATAGGATATTGGCAGTCGAGCTGGCAAGACGACGAGCCACACCCAAGCAGCGGCCTGCCCGGGCTTCAGCATCTTCTGAGGAGCCTGTTGTGAAGCGCAGGCGCGCTGCCGTTACAAGTAGCATTGCTGGTCTGGAAGGGGTCCGAGTGGTGGATTATCATCCGAAGTCGGTCTGGAGCTTTGACCCGCCTTCGTCTCGTGAGAGGGACGCTCTTTGGGAGTTGTGGCTTCAGTCTGGGCCCGACAATCTTCGCTTGCAGGAATGCCTTCGCTCGGGGTCATTTATTCAATCCCCCTCGGAGGCGCCGCGCATCTGGGTTCTGTCTAAGTTTGAGAAGTTCTCGGATGAGCAGCTTAAGCCGCCCTTGCGTGCCTGGGCCCGGTGGGAGGATTGGCGGTCACGCAACTGCCCTGGCGTGGCAGCTTTTCATCCAGATGCCATTTCCTTCTTCCACTTCATCGAGCACGTCGCTTGTGGTGGGCCGACTGCTGCGCGGTCTGTGTGGCACCACCTTCACTTTTTGCGCCAGCGCCTGGGCTTGGATTTGCCACTGGATGATACGAGAGAATACGTTATGGGCAAAGCGCGCACCAAACCAGTGGTCCAAGCCAGAGTTGTGGAGCCTGCTTTCGTGGTGGGGTTGCTCTATGCTTTGTCTACATCCGCTGGCCCTGGTCGGGTGCTGCTTCAATGCGTTACTCTGGCCTTGTTTTCTTGCATTCGGTGGCGCCACCTCCAGCGCTCTTACTTTACACACTCGGACGGCACGTTGCTGCACGCTCATTGTGTTCAGGGTAAGCGGCGCGTGCAAGGGGTGAGGCCTCCGTATTCCTGGACAGTTCCCCTTCTGGATGGGCTCTGTGCGGGGCTGCCGGGTCTACCTGCTTCACCTGACTGGGCTCAGGGTCTCAGCGAGCTGTTCGCAGATTTGGCCCCTCGGGTGCCTGCGGGCACACAGCCTTTCCTGGTGCCTCGTATTCGGCGGGATTCCAGTGGCTGTTGGGCCCTGGGGGATGTTCTTTGCCAGCCCATGGGATACCGTGCGTTCACTGAAGCCTTCAGAGGTGTGTTGGTTCAGCTGGGCGAGGGGCCCGACTCTGAGTCTTATACCTTTAATTCGCTTCGTCGGTTTATGGCGACTTTGGCGAATTTTCTTCATTTGGATCCCCAGCAGGCGCAGGCCATAGGACACTGGCAGGAGATTCCTCACGGTTCTTCGGCCGGTGGTGGCGGCTCCTTGGACTCTATGAGGGCTCGCTTCCCTATGGCGGAGCGTTACTCAGGAGTCAAGCACCAAGTGGCAGGACGGGTGCAGCTTGCTTGCGTGGCTATCTTTTTCGATATGGTCCGACAGGCCTTGCCATCACCCCTTCCTCCGAACTGGAACAGTCAGGTCTTGACATGGGGTATGCTAGAACGCTTCAGGCCGTCTTCTGAGGCTGTCTCTGCCCTACTTCGCAGGCTGGGTTCGGTCGCGGAGCCGGGTACCAAGGATCATCCATGGTTTAGCGCGGAGATCTACGCGCAGCTTCTTGATCCATTGGAGGAGGCAGGCCGTGCTCCAGTGTTTCGGGCGCGGGGCCGGGGTGCAAGACATCATCATACATCTGGGCGTTCTGCACCGGCTTCTTCGTCTGCAGCATTATCACCTGTTGTACCGGCCGAAGTTTCTTTGTCTGGAGGGGATCAGCTGTCTTCGTCGGATGCCTCTGTCTCAACAGAGGAGGGTATTCCGGCGGGGCAGTCTGCTTTCCCGAATCACTTGCTTGTGGCTGAGTTGCAATGGTTCGTCACAAAGCGCAGCAAGATATGTCATATTGTTCAGGAGGAGGCGGATGGCTTGTTGATCCCTTGGTGCCGTAGCTCGGCTTTCTCGGGCTCTCCGATCGAGCGTGGCACTAATCCCTGTGCCCAGACGTTGGTCATTTGCTTGGGATGTATGCGCCGCATGCCCGCCGACACCCGGGAGGCCATCAAGCTGGGTTTGGATGATAAACCGCCGACGTCTCCTTCGCCGCCTTCGGAGCTCGACTGACGGGCCTCTGGAAAAGTTCGGGTTTCAGCAGTCGAAGGACTTTCTTCTGAGTTGCGGGGAAGGCTGCCGTCGTAACCCTAGAGTGGCTCGCTTGGTGTCTGTGCAGCACCCGCGTCGTCCCCCTGAGTTTCGGTTCTTAGCTGGCCCCCGTACTTAGAACTTCTCCCCACCGCGCGATCATGGACGTATCGTCGTTATCTCCGGCCGACCTTGCTTCGTGGGTTGCTCGCCTTCCAGCTGCGGTTCGTCATAGGCTTCTTGCGGCCTTGCTGGCTTTCGAGGCGGGTTCTACGGCGACATCTTCGGGCTCGACTTCCTTCCCAGCACCGCCGCCTCCGAGACCAGATCAGGACCGCAGTTCGGGGCGTTGCAGGGTGGCATGTCCGAATGCAGGTGTGGGCCTAGCTTTCTGTCGAGGGGTTTGTGGTCGCAAGCCTAAGCCTCGCAGAAGGAGGCCCCACCGTAGGCATTTTTGCCGGGATTGTCATGAACAAGGATATGGAGCCTATTCTGATTCCGATGACTCTGGTCCTCCTCGCATTGAAGATGGACGTGCTAGTTGAGGGCCGCGTGTGTTCTCCATACCACATATGAGCGCAGCCACCTTAGCTTAGGGCACTATTTTGGGGGCCGGCTTGCCTTCCTTAGTGTCTTGAGGCATTCGTGTGTGTGAGCGTAAACAGTGCTGCAGCTGTTGTTGGCTTGATTCGGTGCCGCCTGTCTTTAGCCTCTGAGGACAGTGTTGGTTTCATCGTATTGCCGCAGCCTGTTTCAGACTCTCTTGTGAGTGCTTAGAGTTTGCTCGGGGTCATGGCGTCGGGTGCTGCTCCTGTCATTCAGACCCATGCTTCTGATGGGGGGCTGGCATCCTGCTTGGCCATCGCTAGGGTTAAGCCCGAGCTGGCCACCTTCATGAAGGATGTCTTGAAGATGGAGTCTCTTCAGGATTTCTTCTTTTACGTGGCCAAGGATGCTTGGGAAGCCGAGTTGGACACCAAGGTTGTGAAGCCAGCTGTGGAAGCATCCGTCATTACTGAAGCCATGAAGCCCATCCAGCTCGCTCGTGTCAGGATGGCCTGGCAGTCCACAGCGAAGCTTCAAGATGCCTCCGACGCTCAGTTGTCATCTTCCAATTCAGTTGACGAGCCACTGCCTGAGACAGCCAGACAGTTGCTGGACCAGCGGTGGAAGAAGAGGTACCCGGATTTCACTTTGGATCCGGCTCTCATGGGGGCCTCTGCAATCATTCACCGACTTTATCGGGAGTGGATTCAGGGTCAGCCGACCACAGTTGTAGACCTCCAGAAGATGCGCACCGCATTGGCCGAGCGATTTCAGGGTGACAAGCTGCAGATCGCTCTTGGGGATGCCACGTTGACGGTTACAGATTATGCATCGACTGGGTCGCGGGTTCAGTTCAGGAGCGTTTCCCACTTCTACCTGCTGCACAGGACGTTGACCAACTGCTGGGCTTACGTTGGCAGTGTGGACGTGGAGTCCAAGAACCAGCCTGGGACCCAGGTTGCCATGATGTCTTTTCAGCAGGCCTTGGGGTACTCCGACACCATCCTTCGCAAAGCTGTGGATGTTGCAGAGAGCGCTCAGCTGGGCTGGTTGGCCAAGAACGATTCGCTTACTCGGTCGCGCATGGCAGCCCACATGATGCAAGGCTGGCCACCAGGTGAAGCTCTAACCAGGGCGATGTCTGAGACGGTGGAGTGGGCTATGCTTCCTGTGCCAGGTGCTGGCGAGCTTCGAGGCCCATCGCACTCACCTCTGGAGAGCTTGGGTCGTGATCCAGCATCGAAGAGGGCGGCAGAGACTGCTCAAGCCTCGGATGGCGTGGAGAGGCCGCCAAAGAAGCCTGCTCAGCCTCCTGGCCCTCCCCCGACAAGGGATGCGCGGACCCGCCAGCAAACCGTCACTACGCTTAAGGGCAACAAGACTTTGTGCAAGGCCTTCAACGATGATCGAGCATGTCAGCGAGTTCGTGTTGGAGAGCAGTGCCCCGACGGATGGCACCTTTGCGACCGGAAGCTCGCATCGGGCAGAGGCTGCGGTGGCAAGCATCGTCGGGGCCAACGCACCGAGCCCTGAATGGATTCATCTTCGCTGGCTCAGGCAGGGCGCGAAATTCGCGCTGCTGGGGATGATGATGTCGCAGCCACTGGTGAGCCGGGTGATGCTCGCGGCGATTGCGTTCCTCAGAACGGTGCTGTGCAAAGTCAGCTCTTGGACTCTCGAGAGGCAGGGCAGGCGCCTCGACGAGTCATCCGCTCCGGGGGCTCAGTTGAAAAAGGTGAGCAGCCGTCGTCATTTCGATATTGTGCTCCTTCTGAAGTCCATGCTAGGCTAGAGGCAGCTAAGCCCGTGGCCTGGCGGGGTCGAGGTGAGTTACCTACTTTCGCGTGGTCCTCTTTGGGTACATGGCTTGTCATTGATCTCTGGAGTGGCATCGGTGGTACCATCTTTTCATGCCTTTCATTAGGATTGCGGGTGTACGCCATTGCAATTGAGCAGGACCCCGACGCAGCAGAGAGGACTTCGAGGAGTTTTCCCAACGTGATCTCGCTGCAGTTAGTGGAGGAGTTCCATGGTTCTATGATTCGAGCTTTCTTGAAGCGCCGTACGGTGGAGGGTGTGATAGTTGGGGGTTGCCCTCGTCAGGGTCACTCCGACTTGAGTCGCCATCGTTGCGGCGAGATGGATTCTCGCTCGCATCAGCCTCAGGAGCTCAGGCGCATTTGCAGCGAGATCGAGGGCATGCCAGAGGCCGAAGGGTTGAGAGTCTGTGCCTTTATCGAGGACGTCGCTAGCAGCCCTCGTGATGTTCTTCGTTGCTATAGTCAGTCGATGTCTGCTAAGCCAATTTTGGTCAGAGCGGCGCAGTTTGGTTGGGTTCATCGAGATCGATTATTTTGGCTCAGGTTCATCAATGATTTTTCTGGAGTGCAGTTGTGTCAGGGAGTCGGCGTTTCCGAGTCAGAGCGGTGTTGGACAATGAACTTGTCATTGGCCAAGCCTATACCCTCTGGAGTGAACTTAGAACGGGGGTTCGCGCTTCACGTGGATCCCAAGGCTAATGTGCTAGATGCATCGTTGCCTCGCATTTTCACTTTCACCACTGAGTTCCCTCACCCTTTCGATGGCGGTCATTGCGCATCTGCCCAAGCTGTTGCTCGCTTCAGGGAGGACTCAGGTCGATTTCCGGTGGAAGCGTATGAGGACATTTCCTTGGCTTGGAGGCAGGGAGAGTGGCGTACGCTCACTCCTTCGGAGCGCGCTTTGATTCACTGCTTGCCGCCGGATGCAGTGGGCACTAGTACTCTTCATCATGTGCCTCGGGATCGTCGCACCAAGATCAGAAACTCATGGGTCGGTAGCAGCTCTCACATCCCCAGCTTGGTGCTCATCTTGTTGGTTATGATAACAGGAGTTCGCGCGTCCCAACCCATGCAGTGTGTCTTTGAACAGCACCTGCGGGGCTCAGTACCAGGATCCCCCTTTGATGACGTTGCACTCAGGGCCTTCCCTGGACAGCGCACCGTCAACCAGGTGGTCGGGGATGTACGCGCTATCCTTGCCGACTGCCCTGGATGCGCAGATGCGCCGCGGCATAAGGTTCTCAAACGATTGCAGGGACATGACATTCATCCCCTGTTCTCTTTCAAGCTCTTTTTATGGCATCGAGGACGTGATGAGGTCACCGAGGGCCCCGCTTGGCTGGGTCAGCGCAATAGGGCCCTGCTTCAGGCAGCAGTTGGTCGTCAGAGAGCGGCAGGTGATTCCAAGAAAGGATTAGATCATTTGCTGCCGCCCGGCCTTGACAAGAGTGAACACATCCGAGAGGCATGCTCTTTGGATTCCCCGTTTGCAGTAAGCAGTGTTGTCGATCCTGATTTGGATTATGCTGCTTGGGCTTTAGGGGTCTGGGGCCCGCTCTTGCCTCGCTGGCAAGATGGCGTCAGGAAATGCTTGCATCGCTTAGTCAAGGCGTTCAGTCCTGTGGAAGAGTTCTTGATGGCACGCTCTCCAGTAGCAGGGTTGTCTTCACGCTCCCCTTTGACTTTGGCGGTGCTCACTGTGCTGTTGGACTGGCCCGACGTCACTCAACCGCTCAGGTACTTCACGGGATTCAAAGCAGTTGGTTCTATTGAGCCCACAGGAATCTTTCGCGAGATTCCTCACACACTCCATGTTCCCGAGGACGAGTTCTTAGGCCAGCATGCCCAGGACTTCGTTCAGGAGCTTGTGCATCGCAGGCCGTCTTCGGACGCTCAAGCCATTTGGGATCTTACTCAAGAGGAGTGTGCTAAGGGATGGTGCTCCGGCCCCTTTTCAGTGGCGCAGCTGGACCATAAGTTTGGCCCGGGTAGGTGGCGGCCTGTTCCCAGGTTTCTCATAACTCAGGCCAGTGGAAAACAACGCCTCATCGACGATGCCAAGCAAGGTTCTCACAACCTGGCAACGGACATGGAGGAGACGATTTACACCATCGGCATTGACAGTCTTCCTGTTTACGTTCGTAGATTGGCCATCGTGGTAATTCACTTCTGTGGAGAGTTGCCACATTGGTTCCTGCCTACAGCGTGCATCATGGATTTGCCCGACGCCTACCGAGGTTGCCCTGTGGACCCTCAGCAGCGCGGCCTTACAGTAGCCGCCACCTTCGATCCGATAAAACGTCGTTGGTGCTTTTGGGTGTACACAGGATTACTTTACGGATTGGCATCTGCTGTTCTTTCGTTCAATCGTCTGCCTACATTTCTAGTTGCTGCAGCGCGACGCTTGTTAGCTGTGGCATGTGGCGCATACTTTGATGATCTCTTTGATGTGGCTGTGCGTAGCATCGCTTCTGCTAGCCAGTCAGCTCTGCTTCATATCCTGTCGTTGGCGGGCGCGCCGCCTGCTCCGGACAAGACCCAGCCTCCCCGTGCCAATTTTGGGTACTTGGGAGCTTCTTTTGACTTCTCTATGGTCTTTGATGAGGGTACTATCACATGTGGCCCCACGCAGGCGTCCCTGCACAAGTTGTTCGATGCCGTGGAGTTGGCCACCGAGTCGCAGCAGCTCACGCCGGCCCAGGCCTCCAAGCTTAGGGGGCAGGCTGGTTGGACGGGCTCTTTGCTACATGGCAAGTGTGGTAGATTGGCCCTACGCTTTCTCAAGGAGCGCCAGTATGCCAAGGATGGAGATAGTTCACTTTCACATGCTCAAATGCGTGAACTTCGGCTGCTCTTGCACATCGCTAAAACAGCTCCCATCAGACTCATTGAGGTCCTGAAGCCCCCCCAGAAGCCAGTGGTCATCTACTCTGATGCGAGCTTTGAGAATGGGACTGCCAAGTGTGGTTGGGTCATTTTCCCACCGGGGGAGCGCCCTTTAGGCCAGTCTGTTGTCATCCCACCAGAGTGGATTTCACAATGGGAGCCTCGTGATACGCAGATTTTCGCAGCCGAGGCCTTTTGTTCGCTGCTGGTACCTGTTAATCTGCCTCATGTTTTTCGTGGGCAAGATATTCTGTGGTTTATAGACAACGAGGCAGCTGCGGCCGCCATCATCCGAGGTAGTAGTTCCTCTGCAGATGTTGATGCTATAGTTCAGATTTCAGCTATCTTGGCCCTTCGTCTGGAGTCTAGGATTTGGGTGGAGTGGATCAATTCTGATTCCAATCCTTCTGATGGGCTATCCCGTGATGGTTTGGCCGATGCTTGGACTTTGGATCAGGGATGGGATCTCTCCGTAGCTCAGCTTCCTAGCCCAGCCCTGCACGAAACATTGGAGACATTGGGACTCGCGTTCGATGATCAGAATCGTTTTGCATCTTTCATGCAGACATTTGGCATCGATTCTTTCCAATGTACACATTAGTGTATCATTGTGACGTCAGAGTTTCGTGACTCCGCTTGAAG